CAACCTTTGCAAGTTGACAAATAGAGCTTTCAAATTAAAAAAATAAAAATAATTAAAAAAAATAATAATAATAAATAAAAAAATCCAAATTTCAGCTCTTCCATTTATGCCACCCAATCTTCAAGTCACATCAAAATATCACCATTCTAACCTTTTTAAAAAAAAATTGAATACACCCATTTTCATGTGTAAGGAAGATAAAAAGAAATGGGGATTAATTGCCAACTATGTGAAGTGCGCAAAGATTGAGTAGCATGTGTAAAAATCAGATTCCAGGTGACATGTATGTAGTTCTTTCCAAACTGCATGAGGGCAAGACCTGTACATATACATATGTTTGAAAGTTTTGCTAACGTGAAAAGAAATGAATCCATTAACAAGAAGCAACTTTTGTGCTTGGGTTTGCAAACACATAGCAATTGGGAGGTATGTATGTAAACACGTAATTGCGATGAGATTGGGTAAATACATAAGATTTTCTGTGGAATGGAAATTCTCATTGATAAAACCCACGATACATAAGTGTTAGAAGTGAAGTATTGTGTATCATATAAATAAACGCATAGGAATTCCCAGATGCCGTATGTAAACCTTCCTATTTTATTTATTGCACAACACTCCTCCAAAATTAAAATCTCAAACCTGTTTGAGCAAAATTCATCTTCCAAAGATTCACATGATAGAGCATATTGATATTTCAATAAATTTAGAATCAAGGAAAGCATGTGATCGCATGAGATTAGACATGAAACACATGAGAATCGTGTGCAATGTATGTGATTGTACCAACATATACATGTCGAAGCAATATCTACACCGCAAAACTAAGTTCAAGAACCTGTATTGGAATTTAAATAGCTTTGCTGATAAGACCTAAAGAGTGAGCGGCTCTAGCAAATAGTGTTGTATAAAGGATCCTTGCTCATGTTAACCAAGCGTAAAAGGAAAGCTCAAACGACACATAATATTGCCTCTTTGTTATCAAATCGATCATAAATCATGAAACAGTGAAGCTAAAGGGACAAGCTAAATCAACAAATGTTCAGCAAAGCCATAAACACATCAACCAACCAGCAAAATATTTGAGAAGGTCAATGAGACCTCGAGAAACCCATAATAGTATCGGGCAGACAAGCAGGGATATCAACAACCAAGAAAGCAGATTGAGTGATTAAGGGGCGAGGAAGTTACCTCTTGGCGTAAATCCAAGGCAAATGCAAGAATAGAAATATTTCTACAGCACCTCCTTCTATCGAAGTTCTTTTGAACCAACCCAAAATCTCAATGGCCAAACAAGCGGTCAAGCAAAGGTATCGAGGGGAACAGCAAGGAATGCGAAGAACTCGGTCAAAGTGTAGAACAAAACAAGCAGAAAATCCGGCAGTACCTCCTCTTTCCCCAAAAGCTTCGGCTCCGAAAATTTCACAAATTTTCTCCACAGCACTTCCAAAAGGGCTCAAGCACACGAGATGAATCAGAGTAAGAAAAATCGAACCAAGGAGATTTAGAT